GTAAATTATAATATAATAACACGAGAAGTGTCGTAATAGTTAAAATAAAAGAATTATTTGTAAATCGTGTAGATTTAATTACAGCAACGAATCATTCAGACCCGAGCGAACATTTTTGGACAATTGTACGATTATATATGGTAAAATCTAAATTGTAGATAAAGGAACTGTGAACCTTTCTCTGTCAATCGTCGTAAGGTGGAGGTGCATTCTGTATTTCAAATAGGACTCTTTTTTTAGTTGTAATTTTCATAACTGTTGTTGACGACTGAATGAGCTATCTCTCTCTCTCTCTCTCTCTCTCTTGTCTCTTCCCCTTTTTGTCCCTTACCGTATGACCAGCCGACTACTTCACCCGTCCTCAAATTCTCGGTTCTCAACCAGTCCTCTAATGGCCGGAAATACTCCCTAAGAGCGGATCCGTCTAATCTGAACTCGCCGATAGCTTCTCCCAACGTATCCCGCCACGGGATGGATGAGCCCCTCTCCATCAATCTCCTACGAATAAAAACAATGCGTTAGTTCGTGGTATCACTCCCTTAATTTTATACAATGGACTATTGCTATTACTCTCTACACTCTTTGGAATAGAATCTCATTCTAAAAAGAGACATTTCATTCTTAAAAATTGAAAATTCTGCCACTGATTTTTAAAACTAACAGAATTTTCACATTTTAAAAGTATTCCACGTTAAATTTATAAATTAGAGCATATATTTTTTCTGGAAAATGACACAAACGTAGAGCTTTTCATAATTTTTACAAAATAATATCTGTGCAAGTGCCGAAGGTAGCTACTTAAAAAGTTACAAAGGTTAAAATTGTCGCTAAACTTCGTCGGATTGTTTTAATAACTTTAATAACGTTATTTAAACGAAAGTAAAATTATCACTGATATGATGATACGATGACCCTAATAACACAAATGTCTCCAAGAGACATTTCAAAGAACATTCAGAAGATATCTCTATGTCCTAAGAACGTTCGCCAGAACGTCCCTCAAATAAAATATGCAGAGGAATAGGTAGAGGTTGTAAGAATGTGGGATACTTTTTGCTTTAATAAGATTTTATTAAAGTTTTTCAGCGCATTAACACCCTTGTAATATGATATCGGATTGAGAATTTGCTTGTCAATTTAATTTAACTTGTGATATTATTGCAGTAGTTTAATTGCGTGTGATAAAGTCCGGAAAAATTCCGGCGCGCAGTTTGAATAATTGCAAAAATATGGTATATTTACATATATAGGATATAGATAATTCACTGTGAATTATTTAGGCATTTAGAGAATCTAGCTTTGACCGTCATAGGCTTGAATATGCTTATACTTAAGTATTTACCTTTTGCTTTAATCGGAAATCATTGTTTGCGAGGTCAGATAGATGGAATGCATGGGCAGTGCCGTCGAAAAAAAAGAAATTAAACGTCGTAAAATGATTACATGAGAGATAACCTCGACGATTTCTGCAGATAGGTATTATCAGAGTTGGGAAGCATTACTTTTTCCATTATTTTTTCCGTTACTTTTTGTAACAAACATGACGTTGCAATTTTTTTTTATAATTAACCGCTAAGGTTGTGCCAAGGTTGGAAAAGTGGATCTTGCAACCTTAAGTATAATCTTAGCGGTTAGTTATAAAAAATTGCAACGTCATTCTCAAATTGTTTATTATAAAAATCTTAATAACAACCAGTGATCGAGCAAAAGAAATAGATGTATGATTAATTAATAAGTTGACATATATTTAAATATAAATATAAATATAAATATATCAATTTATTAATTAATCATACATCTATTTCTTTTGCTCGATCACTGGCCGTTATTAAGATTTTTGTATCGCCATGCAAATATTCGAGCGTTATTATTCTTATTGTTTAATATTATAAAAAGAAACGGAAAAAGAGTAACGCTTCCCAACTCTGGGTATTATTTAGTAACGCCTGTATAGAATGGCGCTAGGTATTTATGGCTCGACATTCTTTCATTGTCGGACATGCTTTTCGCACGGAAACGCAAATACGGCGAGGGCGTAAGAAAGGAAGAATAACACGGAATGAGGTAGCGAACCAACGACCATGATACATAATAAAAGGCATAATAATGTGCGATTTTATTCAGCTGTATAATTTTGCTACTTTGCTAACATAGAAAACTAGCTGTCCGTATATTACTGCTGCAGATTTGCTAAATCAGTAAAGTTTTTAGTTGTTTTAACGAACCTTTTTTTGCGACTCTATCCCTCGGGCTCTATTTCTACCTCTAATTTATACTCTTAACTCCGACACAGTCCATTTCCAACGCGATTTTAATCTGCACGGGCGATACATTTCGTGTTATAGCAGCGTGGAATGCCGTCGCGAAATTTATTGCGGTGCACCGGCGTTTGGAATTTCATGAAAAATTTATGTCAACACCAACGTCGCACCTTTGACAAGTACAACTTATTTAATTGACATGGCCACATTTTCGGCCCGTAAACCTCGTATGTCTTCTAGACACTTTATTTCCAACACTGACCTATTTCCCCTTCGTTGTTATCTCTTTGTTATTCCGAAAATAAACGTAAAAATATAACTTTCGAAAATAGTATAAGACATATAATATAAAAATATTTTAAGATCGCAATTATTTTAAAATCAATTCAATTTCTTGCTTTATGAGTTTCGTCTTTCTTGTAGCATAGAAAAATGATAAACAACGCTTTTTTTAGACATATTCTTAATTGCAAAATCGCGCGTTTTAACTTCGGATAGGCTTAGGTCACGATTTGAAAGCGACATCGCAGACTTTCGAGAATGCAAAAAAATCCAGACACACTTCATTCTCGTCTACTTCTTAGTTCGTGAGATAAAAACTTAATCCCCCGGAGTAGTAAAAGGAAACACAAACATCCGTTACGACATTCCTTGTCCCGCCGTGCTTCTAAAATTAATTGATACGCAAATTTAATCGCAGAAGCGAGACAATATGTCTCAACAGCCGAGATGATTGATCGCAAATGAATTCATTCTTAGGCCATCGACATCGTCGATCGAACGATCGTCCTCCGAGCTCATAACGCCGATCTAAGATTAAACGATTGTAAAGGCGATGTTTCGCGCTCCCTGAGAACTAGTGCACGGTGCCAACAGAGGTGACTGTTTAGACGCGCGGCAATTACGCAACGGTGGCGGCGCGGCGGTATCCCGCGCTGATCGGCCTCTCAAATCAATCGCTAGATCAACGACGAACTCTCGCAACTTTTCCTTTATGCATAATCGCGCCGTATCATAGAGTGCGGCGCAACGTCCACTAAGTAGAGGATTCCTAATCGAACTTGTTTCGAATGTTTCACAGGCACAAAATATTTGCCGCATAGATCTTCTTCTGGTGAACAATGCTAGTTAATATTCTTCACATGTATTATTTTTACTCATCTTGCTCTCTATATATTACAACGATTTTTGCATATCTTTGATCGAAATGCTATTGTATATATGTACAGTGAGTGCAAAAAATATTTGTACAGAAGAAATATTTTTTAAAAAACTTTATTTTTAAAAAATAAATGTTATCCAGAAATCAGTCATCGAATTGATGTCGAATCGATATCGATATGATGATTTCAATACCAATTCGATGTCGATTCGACGTTTAATTGATGATCATTTCTTGCTGGATAATTAACAATTGTTCATAGATAATAAAATAGATTGTATGTTTCTTAAAATTATATATACCAAAAAGATATGTATTAATTATAGAAAATATATCATCTGAAAAATAAGTGAAAATTAAAAATTCTATTGTTTAGATGATCAAAAAGTATTCGTACAGTAGAGAAATTTAGCTTTTAAAATCAGGAATACATGCGAAGCGTTTGTTTATGTTAGAATATATTTACAAAATTGCTAATTAATGTGTTATTTTTTACAAATAAGACTTTTTTTTATAAAAAATTGTCTTGTACTTTTTGCTCTCACTATATATACACGGAAAGAATGGTTTTACTAAAGTATCTAAAAATTTAGCTAGATACAGATCTGAACATGAATCAAAATATAATTACGTAAAACTGATTTCTATAGAATGTCAAAATTTTTTGCAGCATTGTTCGTCATGCTTGATTTTCTGACATAATTGTTTTTATGTGTGTCGTGTTGTGTTTAGTCCAACAAAATTATTCTCAAATCTATATATCTACCTAAATTTTAGATACTTTAGCAAAATCGTTTCTTTCGTGTTTGTATAGGTATAATTGATAAATAAATGGATACATTTAGAGAAGTTTATATACCTATACATTTGCTTGATCGTATAGCTAATTAACATGCTGATTACTCTCCAGTATCGAGAGAGGTTTGTTTGTACTTACAGTCAATACATGGTCGCAAAATCAGGTCATGCGAGAGAGAGTCAATCTTGATAATATTATTATATATATCGACAATCGTTTCAGGGCTGAATTCACGCATCCAATTACATCACGGCAGTTTATCGAGCAACTGCGGTGATTTCATGTTGCCAGAAAGTGCAACCGACGGATGACGTCGTCGACCGCAATCACAGCGCCGGCGTTACGAGAAAGATAGCTTCTTGCTGACATCGATTCCACCTTCAATCCATTTCCAATTACTCGTACAGAATCAGAAATGTTCGTACATCCACCACGCTTCTCGTGAAAAACGATTCGATTGGAAACACATCTCAATATATCACGAAAAGTCTGATATCTTCCTCTCTCTCTCTCTCTCTCTCTCTCTCTCTCATTTCTTCAACCTTTGACTGTAATTTATATCGATCACATAATTTCCGGTTCGGCACGTAGGCGAAATCGGTACTTTCCTGCCGACGAGTAATGCATTTTGCAATAGTGAGATGCTGCGATGAGGCGAGCATTTTGCCGATGAGGTGTATAAAACGAACAGGTGCATAAACTTATCGCGAAAGTATAATAAAGATAATAATAAGCGTTTGACAGAATTATTTAATTTAAGAATAGTTGATTCAAGAATACTTAATTCGTGATAGGTGAAACCTTTATAAGATTTACTGTCGCTACTATAATTACATCTTAATAACGTACTTGTAACTAATTTTGTCTAATGAGACTTTTAACTCATCATTCGAATAATTAGGATTTTTTAAGAACCGCATTTGGAACCAACCATTTTTGCAAGACGCAATCTTGCATAATAAAAATAAAAAAAGAGGAAGATTATGTAAGAAAGTGCAATTATTTAAAATTTAACAATATGCAACATTAAATATTAAAAAATTATACATTACAATATATATCTTCGTAGTTTTGTAGGAGAAATTTTTGTCGATTTTAATCTCTCCTTTTATGATAAAATATTGGAGATTGAAGATTTAGCATTTAAACAACAAAGACATATTTCAGATTTTATGGAGAAATAATGGTGAAAGTATCGCTAAAGGATCCATAATAACACTAAATTATCGTAAACGAACGGATGTGTAACAGCGAGTTAAAACGGATATGATTGCAC